GTCTTTACCCACTTATTTCCCTGCTTCACCATCCACCAGGATACCCATCCACTTCTCCCCCCTCCCTTCACATCTATCTCCCTTTGACCAGCCCTCCATCTATTAACTTATGTACGAAGCTTCCATGGCTTCTGTGATTCCAAACACATCAGCTGATGGTAGTTCCTTATGTTGGTATCAATGTCTCTTACTCGATATAATTCAATGTCATATTGGCATCCATACCATGAGACTTTCTAGGCCTACGTAAGCTCTTTGCTTTGCTGAGATCAGTTTACTTGCAGATCATTTTAACCTTAGTTAAAGATTCCAGATTTCAAAATTTTTTTATAAAGAGTGACATCCTCTTCCTAACTAACATGCTTCCAGAAACTATGAACTTTGATAAATGTTGATAGTTGTAGAGGGGCTTCAGGCCTTTCATTCATAGGGTTGCTTTGATTCATGCTCGACTTGAAGGCAATCACCACCACCACCACCAACATATACTAACTTGCTCCTTTATACTAACATTTTAAAAAGCATTTCCTTTAGTACTTCTTTTAAACTCAGTTTTAATTCTTGCACTACCTTGGAGCCTGAAAGTGAGACCTGTCTCTGCACCCCCTGCACCCCCACTGACACAGCTTGCTTTCCTCTGACTGAAAACATTAGGTTCAGCAATACTTCATCCCACGGTTCCAGCACTGTAACTCTTCAAAGTGCTATCAGATCTACGCTCTCATTTATGCTCAAAACAACCCAGACGAGGGCAAGGCATCTGTCATAGATGCTTTTGAGAGGAAGGAATATGCAGGTCAGAGAGGCTGAGGCCTTTATATCTAGCCTCAGCATTAAGTTGATGGCAGAGTTGGGCCTGAATTTTGGGTTCTGGCATCATGTCCAACATGCTTTGCAACAATGACCCTAACAGACTTTCTAATACAAACTTTTCCCCTTTTAGTGGAGATAATCATCTTACTTTCTGTCCCCATTTGGGGCCTGCAGTCCCTGTGCAATGGAAACAAATCTTTTCATGTGTTTGGCTGTTAGCCAAAAAGTTGATTTTTCAAATCTACCCAGAGGCTCCTTAGAGGAAATATCTAGTGGTTTGCTTTACTCAAAAATCAGCTAGTAAAAATCTTATGGAGCAGAATGATGCTCTAGCACATAGAGTCACCATGAGTCCAAATCAACTCCAGGGGTTTCTGGTAGCATCTTTATTATTCACTGTGCCATGCTCCCTGAAAAAAATAATATGCTTTGCTGGATGACTGGGTGAGTGGCCATAGACAGAGCCTGGATCATGTCTACGGTCAGAACTCAGTCTGGAGTTCCAGTTCAGCATCTAGAGTGTGCATTGCAGAAAGGAGCAAGTCAGCTGTTCCCTTCTTCCTCTTTCTATTCCATGGTGTCCCTCAGGGTTGGTTTTTCATCTTCTCTCTCCCTCCTCTAATCTTATAGCACAACCTTTTCTTTAAATCTTCCTTGCCTCGTCCATCTTGCTCCCTTTCTTCTCTCTTCAGTCCCACGCAGGTCCTGGGGAAGGCTGCTCTGGAACTGGTTGTGTGGCCTCTCAGGAGCCCCCGAGCAGGCTCTGAGCCAAGCAGAGAAGGCTGCACTGGAGCAGAAACTGACCAGCATCGAGGAGGAGCCCCTCTGGAGAAGCATCTGCAACATCAATGCCATCCTCTTGCTGGCCATCAATATCTTCCTCTGGGGCTATTTTGCATGATGGGAGAAACTGGCTTGGTCTAGCTTCAACAGGGACACATTCCAGTTAGAAAGACAAGACTTTCCTTCTACCTTGATTTATAAACTGGAGACTACAGAGGCTGAGATGCAAGACCCTCTGAAGAATATCTAATCCAACACGCACCTTTGACAAGTGGAGAAATGGAGGCCTAAAGAAAGCAGTGGTGTGCTCAGGGTCACACAGCGGAGACTCACATGAAACCTCTTTTTATAACATTCTCATATATCCTACCTCAAAAACACTGGCTACGTCTTCTTGTTGATTTTACAGAGTAGCTTTATTGTATGTGTAGTCTTAAGGTTAGAAATGTGACTAAAAACCAAAATAAAGTCACAAGATATTGCAAAAACCCACGTATATTTTTCACTCAGCCACACCTTCTTTCATTCTCTCTTTTTTTAAATCTCCTATCACTCTCATTTTCAGGTACTGATCAATCTCCAGTAACTTATTTATAGAAGTATCTACCTAGGAGCGTTTTATACTTCATTGTAGCTCCACAGTGACCTCTGACAACCAAGGGAGTGAGGGGCCCAGGCTGGGATTTAAGGATGGTGACAATATTCCTGGCAGGGACTCCTTGGGTAAGAAACTGTCCTTGGTACTACTTAAGTACACATTCTACACAGCCTTGAAGAACTTAGGGTCCACTTGGAAAGCTACGATTTGATGAAAATAAGAGCCTGAAGAACTGCTACTGTTTTGGGAGGCAAGTGAAGGTGAAGGGGTGACCCCAGAGAGGAACACACAGACAACCTTAGAGCCACTATCCCTCTCATTGTGCCTGCCAAGTACACACTTACTCTGGAAAATGCCATTCTTAAATGTCGCTCCTCCAAGAGTGTCCTAATTCCTGAGATTATTCTAGGGTGCTCTCCTTCCCCAGAACCCCTGTGTCTGTTTTTATCATAGCACTGAACACATTGACCACACTGTCTGTCTTTGTTTCCAGACTGAGAGTCTCACAGGGGTAGTAGCCAAAGATCATATCCCAACAGACTTTGTACCCAGAAAATAACAGATGTTCAATAAATGTTGGCTGAATTAATAAATTCCTCACAAAGTTCTGGTAGACGTTGTGCTCAGGCTGGCTGGGTAAATGACTTGGGGAGTCAGTTGAGGGCAAGGAAAATGAGTCTTATTAAAGTGGAACATAACTTAGTGTCAGATTATCTAGAGTGAGTCCACAACTCCATTACCAAAGACACAGAGGCAGGATGTGTCTCCCTCCTGTCTCCTGCTCTCCTGACTGCTCCCTATCATCAGATCCTCCTTAATGCTGCCTTTGACCCAAACGGCCAATTCCTGATAGATACAAATAAAACTGTGTTCTCTGGGATTCAAATACATCTGATTTTATGAATACTTCGTGGCTGTTGCTACCTCAGACCTCACGGTGTCTCACCTCATGTGAATTCCTCCCTCTGCTGTAACTCCATGAAGCTTACTGAGAACTCAGTGTTTGCTCCCTGATTTTTGCCAAAATCATTTAGATAAGAGATATGTGTGCAGCATATATTGTTGTTGTTAAGTGCCATTGAGTTGTAGGCAACTCATAGCAGCCCTATGAACGAAAGACCTAGACACTTGTATAACTTCCATGATTTCTCCACATTCGTACAGTTTCTGGAGGCAAGCTATTTCAGAAGTGGGTGCCACTCCTGCTTCCAAGCTTGTTTTAATCGGGAAGCTCCAGCAAACACTGTCCACCATGGGTAACCATTATCACATTTGGCACATCAGTGTCACAGTGTTTAGCATAACAGTGACCATAAAATACCTCTGTACAGCAAACGGACAGACCAGTGCTATATGTGCAGCATATAGCATTTAAAATTTGAGGAAGACAGGAATTTCAACCCATAGATACTTTAAAATAACAGAAATAATTTTAAATGTTAAATGTCTTGTGCTTTAGGGTTCTTCAGTAGTTTACTGTGAGGATTGCTCACAAGCCCCCCCCCCCACCAACCTTTTACCTCCTCTTATGGTTCTGGTCCACTTACCTCCCTATCTCACCATTTCTGTCCTCCTTCTCCATTTCTGTCTCTCTTTCCTACCAAGCCTCATCTACCAGATCCAACCCAAAGATTCATGACTTTGTCAAAAAAGAGACTCCCTCTGCTTACCTAGTCCTTTTCCCTTGTTAAACTCGACTCGTTATTCATGTCTTAGCTCAAAGGTTACATCCTAAGGGAAGTTACATTGATCCAGTCAACATCTTACCCTCCTCACCAGCTTCTCAGGGCAGACCAGACCTCCAGATTCTATCACACACTCTCATAGTCCCCTGCATAATAGTTCTTTCAAATAATTTGTCAGTGTATATACTTACATAAGCATATGTATAATTATTCAATTAATATTCATCTCCTTCTTTAGACTATATAAGCTACTACTGGATCACTGTCACTTAGAAAAATATCTGACACAAATAGATGCTAAAAAAATAAAGATATGAATAAGTGAAAAAACAAATGAATGAATGATATAAAAAGCATCCTAAGCAGAGGAAGTCAAAGCACAGAAATGGAAAAAAAAAAATCGTGACATAGCCAAGAAGCTTTCAGGGACTTCTCCAAAGAACTGAAGAAGCAATGATGTCAGTCTGGAAACTAAGGTGTGCCTGATCCAGGCCATAGTCTTTGCAAGTACTTGCTATGTGTCAGAAAGCTGGACAATGACTATGGATGATAGAAAGAGAATTGATGGCTTTGAGCTGTGGTGCTAGAGAGTACTATTGAATATGCCATGGACTGCTAGAGAACAAACAGATAGGAAAACAAGGCAGCCCACCCCAGACACCACCGTGTGGTCATACAGGATTAGAGCACTCCATGCAGGAGTGGTGGGGATCAACCCTACCTGAGGACAGAGTGTAACAGAGAAACATTGACCATCTTCTCATTCAGTCCTCTGGCTTAGTTACCTAGTCCCTCTTTAACACAACTACCACAAGTGGGTGATATTAAAGAGTGTAAGTCTACTTTCTCACAGTTCAAGGGGTAGAAGTTTGAATTTACCATTTGGTTCTAAGGGTAGATCTATTCCTAATTTATTTCAGCTTTAGTAGCTTTCACAAATCCTTATAGATAAAGATTTCCATCCCTCCTCTGTATCTGTGTCTTGGTGTCTAATCTGCTCTGTTTTTACGAAAGGAGAAATTATTAGATTTAGAATCCACCTACATAGAGTATGGACTAATTAATATAGCAAAGAAAACCCTATTTCTAAATAGGATTATAGTCACAGTTATGCTGTTAAGAGTGTCATCGAGTTAGAACCAATTAATAGAGGACCCTTCTGCCGGTTTTCTGGGGAATAAATTGAGCAGATTGCCCATCGTCCTCTGAGGAGCAGCTGGTGGATTCAAACTTCATGCCTTAGTGTTGGCAGTGCAACTGCTCACCTACCAGGCCACCAGAACTCCCTAGCCACAGTTAGAGGGGTTAGGATTCCAACATAAATATACTGTTGTTATGTGCCATCAAGTCGACTAAGACTCATAACATCGGCTCCAAATCGTACTCTACTCTGCACCAACCTCACCGTCTCTGGTTCACCTGAACCCATTGCTACAGTCACTGTCAATTCACGTTATCCAGGGTCTTCTTCTCCTGTGCTGACCCTCCACCCTTCCAAGCATGATGTCCCTCTCCAAGGACTGGCTCCTCCTTGCAACGTGCCCAAAATATGTGAGATGGAGCTTCAAAATCTGTGCCTCCAAGGAGCAGCCTGGTTTCACTCTCTCCAGGATAGACCTGTGTCTTTCCCTATTCTATTCTATGTTTTTCTCATGTGATTCTCTCTGTCTCAAATATTCATTCATAACATTTTAGTCCTACTTATGCCTCCATGCCTCCTACTCATCTCTGGAAACAGCTCTTCCTACTAACTTTTCCTGATTATCTTCTTCATCCACCCACCCTAGATTTATTTTATCTTTCTTCTATACACAGGACCCTGTTCATCTCTTTATCAAACTGAGTTTTATGGTAGTGTTGTTATTCTTTCCACATTTGTTTTTTGCTATAAGGAGTGCTCCTTGAGAGTAGAGATTGTTTTACTATTCATCTAGGTATTTCCCAGAGCTATTTAGTGGAATAGTTGGTATAGTTCTGGTGGTATAGTTCTCAGTAAGTTGTGCTGCTAACCCAAAGGCCACACATCTGTCCAGCAGTTCAAATCCACCAGCAGCTTGGGAGAAAGATTGGCAATAGACTTCTATGCAATTTACAGTCGCAGAAATCCACTGGATTGTCAGCTATGAGTTCGAATGAGTGTATTTAGTGAGTGTTCAGGAAATAGCCAATTAATGAGCAAATATATGCATGTGAGAGTCACTCCATAACATTTTGATTCCCTAGTACCAAGCCATAATCAAGAGAAATAATAACTAGAATAGTCTGTGTATGGTCTTTGGAGTTCTTTTAAATCCCTGTTAGATCTGCAATCTCATGAAATTCTTACAACTTTCAGAAGTAGTTAAAATTATCATTCCGTTTTCAGAGTGACCAATCATATTCAATTTCCCCTGGGGACTAATCAAAACGGAACCATTTGCTGTTAAGTTGATTCTGATTCAGGGTGACCCCACTGGTCAGAGTAGCACTGCTGTATGGATTGTTGTATTGTTGTGACCTTCTGGAAGAGGATGGCCAGGATGTTCTTCTGAGGCCATTCTGGCTGGGTGTGAACTACCAACCTTTCTGTTACCAGCCTAACCCTTAACTGCTTGTGCCATTTAAGACAGTCTTTTGCTGCCTCTTAATACTCCTGTTGACATCTCCCTCTATATATTTTAAGTCCTGATGAACAAACCAATGTCTGTTGAACACTTACTCCAAGGAGGGCCTTTAGTATTTGAGACTGTCTTGCACAAGGCCAAGTCACTCTCCTGGCAAATTCAAGTATAGAATGTATAGCTGAGACATAAACAAGCAATTCACATACAAGGAGTAACAGCAGAGAAAACAGCA